TCTTTGCGTGAGCGTCTGTAGCGCAGAGTTCACCCTGCTTCGTCACTGGGGGGGGGATACTTCCTTTGAACCCCTTCCGAAATAGAATCCTGGCTAAGCCACTGGTTGCCCTTTTTGCATTAAAGAAAAAGAAAACAAGGTTGTGAGTCAGCACCGTGTTTGTCTGCTTTTTGTTCTCGCCCTGTGTCTCTCTATGTGCTGTTTAAGCCTGTTACCAGCATGACTATGTTTCTGTGTGAATGGACACTGGAGAAAGCTCAGACGTGTGCACAGTAGAGAATACACAGAAAGAAAACACGTAAAAGACGAACGCGCGTGCACGAGCACACACACACACACACGCACACACACACAGTGCGCACAGTATACGCTGAAATCAGGCTGTGCTCTCTCGTCAGAGAAGACCTCGATTGTTGTTGAATTTCTTCTGCCTATGATCTGTTGAAGTGAGCATTTTCGTTAACTCGCCAGTGACGGCACATCAACAGTAGTAAAGAGTAAAGCTATACACACTGCGGAGTGCGCTTTGGACAGAAATGGCTATACGCACTCCGTACAGAGCTCATGCCGCTCGGGCGACCCTTTTCGAACGGCGCGTGTATCACGGGAGAGCTTGTTAACACAGCCCCCCACCTGTGTTCACGTCGCTTCGCGGCGGCAGTATGTTGCTGCTAATTACAAAAACTTAACGAGTATGCGCTGCTTCGCGGCATCCAGCCGGTAACCCAGGCCCCGCTGTCCCCGATCGCACCTCCGGAAAGGGAGTCTCATACCACTTAGTTCTGCGAAGTTTCGTTGACAACGTTTGGTTTTTTTAGTGTTCATCGCAAAAAAGAAATGTCGTAAATATCGCCAAATGCCTCGACAAAACAAAATTTTTCGTAAAAAAAGAAGAAAAAAAAAAAAAAGTAGGCCCACTGGGGATCGAACCTGCGTCTACTTGCGTATAAAGCGGACACCTTAACCCCTATGCTATGCCATCTTTTTTTTTTATTTTTTTAAAGCAAGTTTATTGAGCATTTGGAAACTTATTTCAAACAAAACCAGACAGCCGACACGCCGGCTGTTTTTCCGTTAGACTATGAGCAACCCGAACGTTGTATCCTTATATGCTAACAATTCACATACACCATTTCTGGAGATGTGTTTCGATTAAGTCCCACTGCTCCTTGTCCTCTGGAAATCTTTTTGCCGCAACACTGAGAGACCCCCTCAACTTGGCCGCAAAATACCCCCATGTTCGCTTGGCATGGATGTCGCACTCGAGATACGCAGTTCGGGATCGCCAAATCGCGAGCAGACCGAGCACCACTAGAACATGCATCACAGTTGGAGACTGCTCCTTGCTCTCAAGACACAACCATTTAAACACGTTCCAGACAATTTCATGGAGGCACTTCAGTTCCACCCAAAAAAGGTAAGCGTTGCTACACTCCACAAACACGTGATGTAAGGTTTCAGTCGCCCTGCACAAAGCGCAGTTTAGCGACCATGGAACAAAGAATCCTTTCTTATCAAGCCACACTTTCACAAGGAGCACTTCAACATGAAAACAAACAAAGAAATCTTTGCTGCTTGTAGGCACAGGCAGCTTTCTCAGCTGCTTAAAGACATCGGATGAGTTGGGAGCGTTGACGCACTGTCGGTACAACGACACTGGCAAAACTGCTGAGACAGTGTCCCAGTAAAGTCTCTTCCATTTCACCATCAAAAGATATTCCCAAGAGAAGTGAACCAAGAAGAACCTGATTGAGTCAGCAACTTCCTTGTAATATCTGAGATGCCTCGACGTGGTCGCCCGACTCGTGGTGCTCACCACCCATTGTTGCAAGTTTCCATATCCCAAGAAGTGGAATGCGGTAATAAAAATTGGATCTCTTTGGTCTCTAAAGAATAGAAAGCGCTGCACATAAAGTTTGAGGGTCACATTCACGAGCCCAAAGCCACCGCTTTCCAGACTCCAAAACAAGTTGCTCCTTCGCATCTTTTCCATTCACGATTGCCAAATGTCTGTGGATGGCGTTCACCATGCCTGTGCTGCAACAAACCACTTGTGCCACATGCAGGATAGCAGGGTATGACACCGCGTTGCAGACATAGCTTCTGGAGAACAATGACAAACGTCTTGCTGTCCAACAAGAAAGTTTTACTCGTATGGTCGCCAGTTTCTGCTTCCACTGTTGTGATGTAGGTACTGACAGATCCATGGGCACACCGAGGTACTTTTCCACGCCCGTAGACCATTTGACGCCCATGAACTCCGATGGCTTTGTGGCCCACTCTCCGAGCCAGCTCCTTTTCGACTTGTTCTTATTGAGTCTTGCTCCGGAACACCGACCCTAGCTTTCTAGTTCATCCAAGACTGTTTCGATTTCTTGCTTTGAAGAGCATACAAAAGAAACATTGTCTGCTTACGCCAGGAGTTTTACAGATGCTCCCTCCAGGTTGAGACCGGAGATTGACTTGTTGCGTTGCACCTTGAGGCACAGTGCCTCCAGCTGTAGGGCGAACAAGATTGGTGACATGGGGCAGCCTTGCCGGATAGAACGCAGAGTCAAAATTGGCTTTCCTTTCTTCCCATTTATTAAAAGCCGCGTGGTGATGCTTTTGTAGCACAGCGCTATCGAACCTCCCATCACTTCGCCCACCCCACATCCTTCCAAAACCTTCATGAGAAACTCGTGGGACAGTTGATCAAACGCTTGACTGAGATCTGTCTGCCGCACCGTTAATGGTTGATGACCTTCGGCTGTCGCTTCACAGACAAAACGCTTGACGTGAAGGTTGCGATAAATGGACCGTCCTTTCAAGCCATAGCCTTGGTGCTCTTCGATGACGGTTTTCAGTCCAATGTCCAGACGCCGTGCCAATATTTTCGCCATTATCTTGTAATCTGTGCTTAACAAACTTATAGGACGGAAGTTTTTTACTGCGAGGATTTTTCCGCAGGTTTGTACTTTTCGAATCAAAACAGTGAAGCTCTCTTTCATCGATGGGGGAAGTAGCTGTCTTTCTTGTATGTCTTGAAACACTGTCAGCAGAATGGGGCAGAGGAGGATTATAAACATGTTATAAAACTCTGAGCCTATTCCGTCCGGGCCTGGGGCCTTGTTTGCTGGCAGATTCTTGATTGCCCAGTTGACTTCTGCTGCACTGATCGGTTGATCCATGCGGTCCTTATGCTCCTCTGACACTTGCAGCAGATTGTCGAGAAAACCATTGGTGATGTTATTATCGATATCTTCTCTTCGAAATAACTCACTGTAGATGGTTGCAAACATTATTTCAACTTCTGTTTGTCCTTCCGCCATGACATCACAGTTCCTTACTTTCAGAATTGCATTTTTTTTCCCCTCTTGTTCTTTCCAGCATTGCGAAAATTTTTGTCGGCACCTCTTCCTTGTTTAACATACGAGTGCGGCTCCGGACTGCAGCACCATTTAGCTTTTCTTCCAGTAACTTGAGAAGTTGTGCTTTACATTCTTCTATGTCATCCTAACAGTGCTAAAGGTTGCAATATTCAAAATTCGAGTTTTTAGTCATTCAATAAAGTGTTGGAGTTGGGACGGCTTACACGTTTGGCAGAATGTTGTCAATCTTCAAAGGCTGTTTCTTCAAGTGCTGAAGCACCCCGCTCTGTCAACCATGGTTGGCCTTGAGGTTTGGTGCCTTTCTTCCAACGCTTGCGGGTCACAAGAGTAAATCGTTGGTCAGCCGCAGTCGCATGCGCTGCAGTTTTTTTCCGTTGATCGCCCTCCCTTCCTTTTAGTTGGCACTTCCACTCCGGTGACTTCTTGATCCGGGTTGCCATCTGTCCCGCTGGCCTTTCTGTTTTCCTCCTCCTTCATCTCAACCGATTCTGGTGTGACTTGTCCTGCTTGCGAGTTCTCTCTCGTCTTTGGCGACGGCATCTCTGTCATCTTGACTTCTGCGACGCTGCTCGCTGGTGGTGCTGAATCGGCTGCTCCGACGACATCAGTCGACAATTCAGACGCCTTCCCTGTCGGAGTCACAGGAATGGTCTCCTCCATTTCATCTTGGTCCATCAGGTTATCGACGTCTGGATACAGTCGTCCTCCTCGTGTCCGTAAGTGCAGCATGTCCTGCACCACGGAGTGCAACACTGCTTACGCATGTGACCTACCTTCTTGCACCGTAGGCACAGAGGTGGGCGGCCTGGAATGGACACCAACGCTGGCATTCCGAGGATGTTGATTTGATGCGGGATAGCGTCCACTGTGATCCCTTTCTTGAGCACCATTGTGACTGTTCACGTTGTTGTCTCCACTTTCTCAAAGCCTGGTTGCCTCCACTTCTCGCGCACGATTGATTTCACTTTACCGCGCGACTCGAACGTTTTTTGCACAGCTTCGCCGGGAACGCAGACGGGAACCCAATGAACTTTGAATGATTTCTCACTCACATTCGGATCGATGACCAGACAGGTCTTGCCCTTGACGTTAAGCACTGCCGCATGTAGCAGCTTCTCCTTCGCTGCCGCGTTGTGCAGGGTGAGCATCCAAACGTGGTTGTATTGGAAGGCACCGAAGCCGGCCACGTCCTTCATGTCAACGACGTACTTGAGAACGTCGCGAAAGTCGTCGATGCGGCACGGTCTCGCTGATGGGTCGCCATGTGGAGACTGAATTAAAAGAATAACGACCTGTTGGCAGCGTAGGCAGGATGATACGGTAGTCCTGGGGAGTCAAATATTCCGAAATACCTGTTAGAACCCGGCCGGGGTAAGCCGTAGAACGCGCTCCGCTGGAGCTCATGATTCCTTGCCCGCGCGACTCGGCGTTCGAAAAAAGAATCCCCCTATGCTATGCCATCGCTCACAAAACTCGTTGTAACCATTTGTTTTATACGAGTTTAGCGGAGTGCGTATAGCCATTTCCGTCCGAAGTGCACTCCGGAGTGCGTATAGCTTTACTCGGTAGTAAAAAATACAGCTCACTGTAGTAAAAACACGGAAGCAATGCACATGCGGGGCAACATACCTTTGCACATACTGGCCCCGCCAGGAGTCTAGGAGCTTTTTTATTCCTCGAACCTTGGTATTAATGTACGAAGGTGGTAAGGGTACGTGAATAACTTCGTGACAGTTTGTGAGGAGCGAATATTTGTCGTCTAAAGGAAAATTTGAAAATTTTCCCGCATGCTTAGCGGCCATGATGCATGATGAATGGATGGATGAGTAATACATGGTAATACACAGAGCCGTACTGGTAATACGGGTAATACATCAATCGTAATAAACTGTGGCTTGTATTGGGCGGTACTTTCCGCTACCTATAAACGTGAAAGAGTTAAAGTTACTAACACAATATTTGGTATTCTTTACAGCTAAATCTACTTTTATGTTTATATTTAAAGTTTTTATTTTTAATATAATGAAGTGAAGTTTGATTTTTACTTTACTGAGCACGCTTTTTTTTTTTGCGTTGCGCGGCGCCAGCGGTGCAGAGAGTGGCAAGAGTGGCTGCGCGCCCATTGGCTCTTCGATCAGTGACGGTATGTGACAGTCACTAATCAGCGCAGTGATTGAGGATTATTTGAACGAAAAAAGAAATTGTTGTCATAGGGCAAAATTGGCAGAACCAACGGACACCGCAAACACTGCATCCGGACCGTCGCACGTGGTGTAGGGACCGAAGTGCATTTTTTGGGCGGAACTCCGTGCATCGACGGCACCCGAAAACCAAGTCTGGCCTAGAAGTGGTTTGTGCCTCGCAACGGTCATCGCCGGTCGTCTGAGGGAAGTTGAGCCAACCTCGCTCACTCCGTTACTGCGAGAGTCCAACGCCTGACGGACTTGACATTCGAATGTCGCGGGCCGCCTCGGGTGAGTTTCGACGCAAAGAAAGCCCGGCTTGAACTCGGTTCTGTTCAGTCTTTATATCGGGCACCGAGTGTCGTGTTTTTGCGCCCCAACAACCCGAGCCTTCCGAGTTGGCCAACGGTTATAAGCGAGTGTGAAGCGCCTCGCTCGTTCCTCGCACGGCGCCAGGTCATCCGACTTGCGTGGTTCCTTCGTCTCGTAACTGGAAAGTCCTCCGAAATTTCTGGTACGGCCCACGTTCGGGGCGATGCACCGGTGCTTGTTTACGGTCCCAGGCCTGCCTCTCCGGCTGGCCCCAAGCTCGGTGGGCGTTCGAGTCCTGTGGTTCGAAGGAGGCGACTTCTGAAGCTGGGTCGTCGTAGGCGGCCGACTGTGACTCGCTCTCTGCTCCGCCCCGCCGAAAATGCCGTGCGACCTTTCGGAGCGAGGTTTTGCTCGTGGTCGGTACAGCCTAGCCGGGAACCGTCTCTCGTCCGCGCTTTTCGAGCGCTCGTTCGGGCGACCGTTCGTCCGGCCAAGGTCCGGCCCGTTCTGGCCGAAGAAGCCGGCAAAACCTGCTCCCCTGACCCGTTTCGGCGGCCACTCTGACCGTTCCCGCGTCGCGCCCTTTGTTGTCCGGTCCCCGTGGGCGCTGGTGCGCCGCTTGGCCTCGGGACTGCGTCACTCGCTACGAGAACCGCAGGCTGAGGCGAGAGGGAAAAGGCTTCCAACACCCCGACGCGAGGGAGCCCGAAAGTGCCGAATACAGAGGCTCGCCTCATCCTACTGTCGGGGCAACGCCGTGTTTTTAGGCTCGGTTTCCACCAATCCGAAAAAAGTGGAACCTGAACGGGGAAACGTCCTACCAGGTGAACACAAGCGAGGGTGCAACAACAGTGGTGTCTCGTTTGTATTAACACCTCCGTTTTCCCCTCAAAGCATTCATAATGCGAGTCGTCCCTAAGAACGAGGCAAAAATGCACAATGTTACCCTGTTCGCCTTCGAGAATTTAGTCTATATTAATGGGGGCCATTTTATCAGACGAGGAGTGCTAGTTTTTCTCCTGTGGTGGCGATCATTTCACCCTCTCTGTCACTTAATAAGGAATGGTGAAATCACTGCTTAGAGTTGCCCAGAGAACAGACGGAACTGAAAACTGATCCCGAAATGTTTACACTTCGAAATCTCTGAGCTTGGTTGGAGGTCTGTTTTTAGCCGGGAGGCACGCTGGTCCAGCGTTTCCGACGTGGAAAAGAAACTTTTCCGAGGTTGACGGTCAAATGCCATCTGCCCAGCGCATCTACCCGGCCGTAACGTGGCAGTTCGTGCAACCTCCTGACGCTTGAGTCGGAGGTCACCCGTGGCAGGGACTTTGAGGGTCGCTCAACACGTCTTTGTACCGCTTTCCTGGACTTCAACACCGCTCGCTTTAAGAAAGTACTCAATTGAAACTTAAAAGACATGATGCAATAAGTAAGATAGGACCAATCATACCTGTAAATGATAATTGTACACTTGCTTTTCAAACGGATGGCCGTATTTTGGATTTGGAAGGCCAAATTTTGGCGAGCACTTAAATCTGCCATCAAAAAGCGCAATGCGTTTTGCGATACCCCTCACGCTTGCGACGTATTCTCTCTCGGCAGGGCTAAGCATACTTTAGTCACGAGCTTCGCCACTCGGTGTCGTTAGCGCCTAAAGTTTCCTTAGCTGAAGTACCCGAGAACTGAACGACTGCATCTCGTCGTCCCGATTGTCCCACCGCATTTGCAGAGTGCTTGCGAGGTAGGCTACCTGTGGTTGGGTTTGTAGAATACAATGTCGACGCAAAGATTATTACTATGGCAACGTCGGTCAATGACGCCGGCTGAACGCGTGAACCCACCAACAGCGCGGCCTGGTCGAATAACCGAATCTAGTGATCTAGTTATTCGAACAAGCCGTGCTGTTGGTCGATCCCTGCATTTGGCTCCTTTGCACTCCTTTTCTACTAAAAGTCCTTACTACAAAAGTTCTTGCCGCTTAAGCGTGGGATACGACAGACAGGCAATACGGACAGCTTTGGCAGTTCCTCAGCAAACTGTAAATCAGCACACCGGCTTCTCACGATAGTCAGGACACCAATTTGCTGCCCCAATCCTCGGCCGCTCAATGGCTCTCCGTAAATGTGCAGAATATTCCTGAACATTTCTAAAGCATGATTCACGTTTAATGTAATTTAAAGTTTTAAATTTCTTCAATTTTTATTTTGACACTAGAAGCGTGAACCTTTTCTAGTGTCAACTAGCTTTGTGCGATTTATTCACGACTTTCCCCCGGTGAGTTCAACCTTTTTAATTTTCTATCGTCTGCGAACGTATATGAATTGTATCTCTTATACCCCAGTTACATTAGTGCTCTCAAATGTCATTAAGTCGACGATCATTGAAATCTCCTAACTGTCATTGAGCTCAACTAAGTTGTCTGGTGTTACACGGTACACAGGTCTAACAACCCCGGCTGAGATGCGCGTCAAGGGGTACAGTTGAAATCGAAGCGAAAACAAAACTGATTTCACTCACATTGTATTTTTAAAAAGTGATGCTAATGAATTGTACGCAGACTTATTGGCATCGACATCACAATGGCCGCCCTTGCCGAGCTTTCGCTTCTGCGACATACAGCGATCGTTCTAGCGGCAGCTCTGGCCCCGAATAGTACCTCTTCCGACAATATTTGCTGCTACGATACTTTCCGGATACCTCCCCAATCTTCCGCAATAGTAAGTGCTGCGCTGGCGCTTGCATGGGCGGCAACGCGGCGGACACCTCCATCTTTAGCTTTATTGGGGCGAACCCGCATCAGTTAACGTCAGTAGGCCAGCTCAGTTGAACTGATTGATCGTTAGCGGCTCAATGACAGTTGGCGCCGCCATGTAACTCCGGCCGATTGCGATTGCATCGATTGTCGTTGGCTTAGTGACAGTTAAGAGCGCTGGTGTAACTAGGGTATTAAATGTTCTGTCTTGCACTACCACATCAAGACTGCGAAATTGTTTTGGGGTACGAAGAAAATAAAATTACAATTGTTATTATTATCAAATGCTTTTTATTGAAACCACCATCCAAACATTTCGTCCGTCCATCCGTCTGCGCATTTTTCGTGACATTTAGCGGGGAAATGGACGTCGGGTGACCCTAACACCAATTCCGTTTCCCCGCTAGATATAGCAGATGAAATTGACGCCGTGTGACCTGATGTCATGTGACCTATGCAGCAGTTATGTTCCCCTCTAAATTAGAGGGGGCAATACCTGACACAGTCCCTCTCCTCCCTCCGGGACTGTCCTCCCCATCTGCCTCCCTTTCCCTCTCCTCATACCTCTCCCATTCTCCTAAGCTGGCCTTCCTCCCTCTTGTTCATGCAATAAAGTGTGAGTCAGTTTCCCCGCTAAATTTAAAGGGAAAATGTACATTACATGGCATAACCAATTCCCTCTCCCAATACGTCTCCTCACTTTCTTAGTGTCCTCCTTACTCCCTGGTCACATGACACACCAATTCAGTCCCTCCAAGATTGCTAAGAATGTAGGTTCTTCCCTCCTGGAATGACTGTTTAATGTCTTCTAAACAATTAAAACATTTGCTCCTAGGCATAGTATTGCGTTCACTGTAAGGCGGAAAATAAAGGTGGCTGCCAATTTATTTTATCTAATGAAGGCAACAAACTGCTGGAAGGAGATGGTGGTCAAAGCGGGAATGTCTGGCACAGCCCATAGTGGCCTACTCATCGGTGGCATTTCCCACCGGTGATAACGTACAGACGATTTGTGTACTAATGTTCCATACTCCCGCAGCGCTGCTCTTGCAAGGTCAGTGACATTGGGACCCTCTAACGAAGCTTCAGAGGCTAAGTGGGGTTTGCGAATTGTTTAATTTGTTTTTTAAAAATCTCGCATTTTCCGAGGTGTAGCTCGTAGGCAAAGAAATAAGTGCAAAACTTTTGTTTCCATACCTCTTCAAAGGTCCCTTCACATATACAGTACGGTGCTATTAGTCAGCATTGGGAATAGCTCAAACCTTGCTGATGCGACACCGACCTCATTCTATTAGGGATTGAGCCTTGATACGGCGCTGCATTGGTGTTAAGTTACATTCGAGTCTGCGCTGTTCCTAGCGTTTTCTTAGCGCTGACAAGTGTGTGTGCACTAGCCTCGAAAGTGCCCGAACCTCCTTGGCTACGCTCGACGGCCCATCTTATTTGTTTGTGCCCAATGTGTTTTGTGCAGGTAATTTGCAAGCATGGCTGACGACACCGAGTACCTCAAGCTTTCCATCGAGGAGCGCTTTCAACACAAGGTCTGTGGCATTTCCTTGATTGTCGGCTCTCTGCCCGGCACGGGCCTTCTGGCATGTCACTTGCGGGAGGGAAAATGCCATTTATCCGTAACAGGCACCTGGATTTTCTTAGTTTTCGGATTATTGAGTCTCGTATATTTATGCCAGTTTGCCACCGCAGCGCATGCCTTGGGGTGCCATTTCTTGATCGCAGGCTCTACAGGGGAGCTGGTCGCACATTGCAGGTTTCAGGAAAAAAACACGAGCGCCTATTTCACAGTTCTTATGCAAAGGGACATATTGTCGTAGGCCTACTGAAAAATCCCTCGAGGGAAATGAAAGGGGATTGCCACGTAAAGAAATTTACTTGAAGCTTGTCATGATTTCAGTTCCTTTCATTGTCTCGGTATAAGTTGGGAGGTAGCCTACAGAAATGAAGCTTTAAAGGGGCCCAGCAATCATATTTAAGCGTCTATCTTTTTTGCGGTTTCCACGTCTCTTGGGGTTCGGGCAAGCCAGCGGGCACGGAGAGAGTAACTAAATGTTAGTGCGTCATATTTTAATCGGACGACGCGGAAACCTCTTCCACCTACGGGGGCGACCCGCGGCGCCGAAAGCGCGCGATATGTGACGTCTTTGGTCCTGGGCTGGTCAGAACCGCTAAAATCTTTTTTTTTTTAGTCGAGATACAAAATATAAGTGTCGCGAACTGTTTCAAATATGTATGAAAGTAGTTTTTTTTTGTTCAGTATTTTAGATCAGAAAAGAAAGAAATGCAGTTTATAAAGTACAGAAACAAGAAAAGACTCGTCGACATACCCGTCGACATATCCGTCACCAAGCGGTGGAAAAAACGGCGCATACTAGAAAGGGCTAATGGGATGAGGAGCCAACGAACGGCAAGCGTAGAAAGGTCCCGGATGTACGCAGCGGCGCTGCGGTTGTATACCGGCTTGAGGATCCGACCGGCTCCGAGCGTTCCGAAGGCTTTCGGCGCGGGCTTGGCTGGCGATTTGGCCATTTGGCAGTATGGCAGCGTGAAGTGGCTCCCGCTCTGAACTGATATTTACTCCGTGTTTGCTGTCGTTTTTGTCCAATGAAGTGTTCTGCCGAATCAGTGTTTAATCGTGCAGCAAATGCAATGCGAGCCGCCCTGGCCGCCCACTTCATACAGCCTATCCAACGTGTGCTTTAGTGGCGCCCTCTCAAACCGTCGACACAGAGTGCGGCAGCCGTGAGCGCTCAATGACCTCACTACCCCTCCTCTAGTTCACGGCCACTCAAGCCAGGACCCACGACATCATGGAGGTTACTTTTTGCTTGTTTTTGTAAATCTAATTTGCCTATAACTTTTAAAATAAAGCAAAATTTGAGAAAAGTTTCTTTAAGTTAATACGTTCAGTGCGCTCAGGATCGGTGCAGATTAAACACCATTCAAAAAGTTGTTGCAGGGCCCCTTTAATTCCTGAGGCCTGCTTCAGACGGGACAAAGTTTCCCAGCTCCTTGTCATGCCAGCAACATGCTCCCGTCGTGTTGTTGAAGCTCGAATTGCTACATTTTGTTATCATCATTAGGATTGTGATTTTTTTTTTTTGCACTATGTAAACTGATCATTAATAATTACTCATTAATTTCATGTTTTTGTGTCTTAAAATAGCATTTAGAATACCATTTATTCCTGCACCATTTGCACCAAATTGCGCCATCAATGAAAGTCTTCTACATTTCGTGCTAGAGCGCCATTTTTTGCTAAAAATTGTGTTACATGTGCAGCGAGGTGACCTTGAACGAAGCAAAAAATATAAATTTTATTCTTGGTCGATTCTAATATTCTGAAAAGGAAATGGAAATGGTAGAAATATGTATTTCCCAGCGTCTGTACCCACCGTATGGTTTGTTTAATCTTGGGTTAGAGTGCAGTTGAACACTCAAACAGTCAGAAACACAGATCCTAAACGCTTAGTCTAGGGGCATTCGCAAGGCTTGATTGGCACGATTTGCTATATTTTTTTCATAAACACCAAAAGGTAGTTTATTTCTAGTAATTGTAGAGCCCTGGCCAAGAGTGACCACCACAAAAATAGTGGGAATAAGTGAACATTTCTGACTGCGAAGGACAGCTGTCTTCGATTCATCGCCCCTGTTTGCATTTGCAAGTCTTGCAAGTCGCAGAATCTAAAACTGATTTCAGCTTTTTTCGATCACGCACCGTAAGTTAGCCCAGCCCATATTCTCACCTGATTTGCTTTCGATTTTAGGTGGGCTATCTCTGAAGATATTATGCTAAGCGCGATATACGCGGCCGGGCGTTAGTGCAAAGACATTTGCGGGCCAACAGGAACGCTTCTGCAGGCCGGGCCTTGGAGACCTCTGGTTTAGCCGATGAAAGAGCACGTGCAGATAAATGGCGAGTGCTACAATGTCGTGCTTTTGGTGCTGCTTGATTAGTCCCATTGACTCGTAGCGTCGCCTGCGCTTTGACTTAAAACGAAGTGTAGGGATCACTCTTCAACTGTGCTGGCCCCGTCATCGTCTAAATTTCCAGATGATGTCAGGAGCTAAGAGTCTTGAGAAAAAATTGCTCCTGATTGCTCGATTATCGTGCCTCCTCCCTGCTTCCAAGGCGTGGCTACAGTGTACTGTGGCACTTGCACCGCTTGCGTCAACCTTTATGGCTTAAATAACACATGCGAAGGAAACAATACTTTTTTTTTAAACAGCCTAGATGGAAAAAGAATGTCATAAAACAAATTTACAACAAAGAAAAAACAAATTTTGGGGCGCAAAACTAACTTGTAGTTGGCACCCGTGGGTGCCGCCGCTGGTTACGTGGCAGACCCGTGTGCCGCCCTGCAGTGCCATTGCAAACGTCACGCCACCACAGCACGCTGCGCGTGGTGCGCCGCCGGTTCAACGCGTTTCTCCACGCCGCCGCTGCCAGAAGGGAACACTCCAGTGCGCCGCAACTGTTTTTTTGTTGCACTTCAAACTAAGATGAATATAAGTTTTGAGACCATAAGAAGCTTCCGAAAGAGCGCAAGCACCACGTGATAAATAGCTGCCACTTTTCCGTGGCAGAACCATACATTCGGAGAGTCTGGTCGGTGGGTGTGGCGACGAAGGTGCCGGAGAGGAGAAAAAGGAAGGAAATCACCGAAGGAGGGAGGAGACGAGCGCCATTCTAAGGCAACACGCTTTCCGTACAGAGCGGTGTTGAAGCTACGTGTCGTCTGCTACGGGCTGACTCCTTTTTCGCCCGAATAAAAGTTTGCGGTCCGAAATCGAGAAAACTATATTCGTTGGATTTTTAACCCACCGAGGAATAACAGTCTATCATTTTCTTGCCAGGGCCAGCGATATAAAAGGAAATAACCGAAATTTAGATGCCGATCCCATGCATTCCAGCGGGGGAATGAATGAAAATGGCGGCCCTCCCCGCTCAGCTGGGAGCAGCCAGGAGTTCACACGCCTGCGCTCACGCCTCTCAGTCTGCGCCGCCGGCTGATTGGCTCACTGGGGAAGGGGGCGCTACGGTGGTGAGATCATAGACTGGCCAAACTCTCCTTATATACGGCTCTGCTCCGCGGTGCCAATGGGTGCCAAATGCAAATTCGTTTCGCGCCGTAAAATATGCTCCGGAAGTTTTTCTTTTTCATTGTAAATTCGGTAAATGACTTCCTTTTCCTATCCAGGCTGTTTAAGAAAAATGTTTTTTTCCTTTGCTTGTGTTCTTTAAGGGGGACACTACCCAGAAAAAATAATTTTGGCAAAAAAAGTTGATTTTAAAAATTGTCATATTTACATCCACTAACATCTTGAGAGTATTCCCAGAAAGTTTCGTTAGTTTACAATGGATAGTTAATTTTTTATAAATTATTTTCAGTCCTCTGATAGAAAAAGCAGGGGTTGGAGCACTTTGAATACATTTTTCTTTGTTCCATTTTTTGGCATAAATTTCACTTTAGCAAAACTATTGTTTTGTTATTACATTACTTGAATTCATTTTTATGAGTTCTTCTAGAGTGAAATTTGAAGGGGAAGATAGCTATGAGCTTGTATTTTTTATTTTTGTCATTTTAATGCTCAAGAATGAAAATTGTGGACAAAGAAAAATAATAATAATAATAATAATCTTTATTCTAATAATCTTTATTTTAATGGAAATCTAAAAAACAGTATTTGAATTTATGAGGCTTTTTTGTCGTGAAAGATGTTCGATGTGGGAAAAGGGCAAGCTTTCAACATGGAGTCAGGCACGCAAAAAGCCCTTTATTCACTTCTTCCTCTTCCCTCGTGTCGGCGAAACCGATACGAGAGGTGAATTACCTCACACATCTCCCCTACTAAGTCTCACAACAACAACCAATCACACATCTCCCCTCCTAAGTCTCACAACAAACACTCGCACCTTTCTCCCTCTAGGTCACACCTCCATCGTTCATTGTTCTTGATACCTCTTTGGTGCTCGAACACATCTTCCACTTTTTGTGTGAGCGTGGCCGCCATCGGCGCAATCAGGCCCAGCCTCTGGTGAATCAGCACCGTCTTCTTGCACATTCTCGGGTACCTGTAGCTCTGATCCAGAAGCCTGACTGGGTAAGGGAATCAGGTGTGTTCTGTTTCTGCGGATAGAGTCTCCGGCGTCAGTGTCGATCCAGTATGATCTGGGTTAATTTGCACTGCTTTGGACGACTCCTTGTCGTTGCAGGTCGACTACCCACACGTCAGTTCCCTCGTCCAAGTCGACTAAGTCTCGGACGCCATGCCGGCGGTCGAAGTCTTCTTTTTGTTTTCGTCGCTGAGACATTTCAAATTTTCTTACGTTGTTGAGATCTGGAAGGCAAGGAACGAGGCGGCTAGACGAGACTGGGAGATTTGTTCGTAACCTCCTGCCCATCAGAAGTTCTGCTGGACTGTATCCATTTTTCAATGGACTCGTTCTATAAGCGAGTAGGGTCTTGTACGGGTCTTCTGTTTTCTTCAGAGACGACTTTATTATTTTGACCGCGGCTTCTGCCAT